ACACACACACACACACACACACACACACACACACACACACACACACACAGACACAGAGAGGGGGGGAGGAGTGGGGAAGGGAGAGAGATAGGTTGTAAGAATTCTTATAGGTTTTACTCTGATTATTTTATCTACTGACTTTTGGAGATAATGTCTTATATACCCCAGGCGGGTGTACATAATTCCCTATATAAGGGAGGGTGACTTTGAACCTCTGCTCTTTCTGCTTCCACCTCTGAATGCTGGGATTTCAGGTAAGTACCACCATGCCTGGCTTATGTAATGCTTATGTAACCCAGAGCTTGTTGACGCTGCATAAGTACTCTATCCACTGAGCTGCATCTTCAGCTCCTGTTTTCTAAGATTTTAAAAAATATTTTCATTTTTAACTACATGCAGTTGTGTATCTCTTAACTGCTGAGCCATCCCTCCAGCCCATCTTCTTTGAATAACAGAGGCAGTGCATGGTCCCTGAAGAGCACTGGTGATACCTGTAAAGACTGAAACCCTCCTGAGCAGCTTTAAACTGTTCTGGGCTACAGTGTAACTCATTGGTAGAATATGTGCTTCTTAAGTTTGCACAACGACCCAAGTTCAATAAAATAAAGACAAAATAAGACTTTTCTTTGTGCACACAAACATACAGGCAATGCATGGTCTTACTCTTAAGTCTGTTAGCATGCATGTGCTGGAGTATGCATGTGAATGTTAAAGGCCTACTTGTGAGAGTTGATTTTCTTCTCACCATGGAGGACTGTGGGATCAGGGATCAAATTCAGGTGTCAGACTTTGGCAGGAAGAGAGCCTTTACCCACAAAGTCAGGGTCTCAAACAACAAAACAAAAAAGATATCTGCCCACCTCTGCCTTCCAAGTACTAGGATTAAAGGTGTGTGGCCTAATCTTGGGTCAAAAGGATCAGACATTAAAGGTCATTTTTGGCTAGGTAGCAAGTTTCTGGCCAACCTGGGATATATGAGACCCTGTCTCAAAAAATAAAAATAAAGAGACTGGAGAGATGGCTCAGTGGCACAGTACTCCTCTTACAGAAGATCACCAGGTCAGTTTCAGTCCCTAGCACCATACCAGGTGGCTCACTACCACTTGTAATTAAAAAAATAAGCCTTTAAACTGGGCACCGGTGGCTCAAGCCTTTAATTTCAATACTCGGGAAGCAGAGGCAAGCAGATCTCTTGAGTTTGAGGCCAGCCAGGACTACACAGAGAAACCCTGTCTTAAAAAAACAAACAAAACAAAAAAACACCTTTAAAAAAATAATACAAGAGCCGGGTATGGTAGCACACAGTTGTTTTGGTGTTATTTGTTTTTCTAGACAGAGTTTCTCCATGTAGCTCTGGATGTCAGGAAACTCACTCTATAGACCAGGCTGGCCTTGAACTCAGAGACCCATTTGCCTCTACCTTCAGAGTACGGAGGTTAAAGGTGTGGACCACCAGCACAGCCTGGCAGTGGAGAACACTTGTGACCCAGTGCTTAGGAGGTGGACACAGGAGAACTAGGATTTCAAGGCTACACTTAGATACATGAGACCCTATCACACACTGAGCTTCTATGTTTGCTATTCAAGGGTGCAGCTGGAAACGGACTTGAAGATTGAGAAGGAATGGAGGCAGACTTTGCAAGAAGATCTTCAAAAGGAAAAAGATGTCCTATCTCATCTTAGACACGAAACCCAAAAAATCATAAGTCTTAAAAAAGTAAATAGTGGTAAATTTAAATTTTACATCTTGACAAGTTGTTGGAGGCAGGATTTCATACTATAGTTCAGACTACCTTTGAACTCTATAGAAAAATCTGGCCTTGAACTCACAGCAGCTCAGTCTTGGCCTCGGGAGTACTGGGACTAAGACATGAACCACTGTGCCCGACTTCTCCGTTAGCTTATATAAATGATTTGGGGGCTGAGGGGATGGCTGTCAGTAAAGTGCTTGTAGGATCTGTAGTCTCAGCTCTGGGGAGGCATCCCAGGCACCGGCCACCCAGTCTAGCCTAACGTGTGAGCTGCAGGCCAGTGAAAGGCTGTCTCAGAGAGGTGGCAGGCAGTCTTCAGTACGACCACCAGGGCTATCCTCCAGCCTCCACATGCACCTGCACACAAATGTATACATCTTTTAAAACAAGATGCTTTAAGCAATTTACATGTCCACGAGTAAACAGGATATACTGGTCATCTTAGGAATGTGAGTAAGGAGGTTGTACTAAGTAGGCTGAGGCAGGAGAATCAGAAGGTTAAGGCTAGCCTAGTTACAGTGACTTCCAGGACAGTTTGAGCTAAGATTCCAGCTCTCACACCATATCTAACTCGAGCTGCAGGGTCTGATGCCCTTTTCTATCCTCTGGGCATCAAGCATCTACATGGAAACACATACATGCAGGCAAGAACACTCACATATACAATTCTTTTTTTAAAAAGAGAAATGGAGGGAGGTGGAAAGTATCCAAGCTTGACAGAATACTCCTGTAATACCAGCACTTGGGAAATAAAAGCTCAAATCAATCAGAACAAAGCTCAAAGATATTCATACTTTCCTAATTAATGATACATGCATAGTTTGGAGGGTTGTTTTTTTTTTAACTATATTTTCTGTTTTCTATTGAAGGAGTTTCTTAACCTCCAGGATGAAAATCAACAATTGAAAAGAATATATCACGAACAAGAACAGGCTCTGCAAGAACTTGGCAGCAAACTCTGCGAGTAATTCCTCTCTCTTCCTTCAGCTAAGTGCCCACACGTGTGTGAAAGACATGCATACCACATCAGCTGTGCAAAGGGGCTTGCGTATGGGGACACAAAAAGCAAGACTAGATTCTCTAAAGGCATTTTAGTAGTTCTGAGCATCCCAGTAGACACTGGCTCTGAAAGGTTCCAACAAGTGAGAGCAAAAACTATTGCTTGAGTTCTTCAGTGATAAAGAATCCAGAGACATAATTTTGTCAGGACAACAAAAGCTGAATTTTGAAAATGTCCAGGGCTATCAGACAGAGCCAGGTATGTTGCGAAGGAAAGGTAGTTTTTATGCCTGCAGGGTCAAAGCTTACCATGATTCAGTGTGATCCTGTAGTAGAATGTTATTGGGATCCATAGTGAAAAGGAAGTCAGGAAAGGCTGTAATCTCAGCATTTTTGGGAGGGAGACAGGAATTCAAGTCACCCTCAGTTACACAAAGAATCAGGGCCAGCCTTGAGATCATGAGAGGCTGGAGAGATGGCTCAGCAGTTATGAGCACTGGATACTCTTCCAAAGATGCTGAGTTCAATTCCCGGCAACCATATGGTGAGACTCACAACCATGTATGAGATCTGGTGCCCTCTTCTGGCATGCACTCATATACATAAAGAAACTACTTGCTCCTCTTCAGAGGACCCTAGGGTAAATTTCTAGCACCTACATGGTAGCCCACAACCATCTATGACTCCAGTTGTAGGGAATCTAGTGGCTTCTTTCTGACCTTCAGGCATAATGCATGCATATGGTACACATACATACATGCATGCAAACATTCATACACATAAATAAATCTTTAAAAATAAATGGATGGAGGTGGGAAATATCTAAGAAAACCAACATTTCAATTTTTAATTTTAGGATTGTGTTCTCTCTCCCTTTATTCCTCCTCCTGAGAAATGATATTGGTATAGTGTCTGGTATTAAATTCCTGGGCTCATGTGACTCAGTGTCAAAAATAGGCTGGACCATGTGCCATTAATCCAGCCACTTCAAGTGTAATTAACAGTTACTCTGGTAAGAAAATTAGAACATGTTTAGGGCTCAACAGAGGGAAAAATTATATACCATGTAACCATTTAGTATGATGTAACAAATGTTCAGTAACAACTAGTAGCCTCAAGCCTTCAGTATCTATTAGTGAGAAGAGAGCTAGTCCATTGAAAATGCAAGCTAGTTGAGTGTAGCAGGCCTTATCTGTAATCTGACTTGAGGCCAGCCTGGGTTATGGAATTTCAGTGGTGTTGCAAAAACAAAATGTAACATTTACACAAGTAGTCAAGAATGACCTTGAACTTCTTCTGACCTTCCTGCTGTATAACTTCCCAAGAACTAGCAGGTGTAGGCCACGGCACCTGGGTTTATATGGGCGGGGAATCTAATAGAGGGATTTGTACAGCACTTTCACAAATATACACATACACAGAAGCTTTTGAAAAATTCAGTTGCAGATTGTGAGACTATTTCAACAAAAACCAAAATCAAGTTGTGGAAATCTCAAACACTGATTTTTGTTTTAGGACATTTAGAAAAAAAAATCCCCTTAGTCAGAGACTGTTAGGATCTAAAATTATATGCAATGAAAAAATAAGCTGTGAAATATTAGGTGTTCTGTATTTACATGCATACTAAAACTTGGACCCGTTTGTAATGTTTTTAGATCTAAACTTAAAATAGACGATATAAAAGAAGCCAACAAAGCGTTACAGGTGAGTAAATAGGTTTGGGAGTACAGCTGAAAGCTTTTTAGTTGGTAAACCTGGAATGTTTGGAAATGGGAATGTTGGGGACCCGTGGTTTGGTCTCAGCATCAGAAGAGTGTGAACAGAGGTGGCAGCCCTGAAGGGGAGTGGGCGGGGCAGCTGCTCTAATATTCTCTTACTATCTCCATCGTTACTGACATGTTTAAAAAGAAGGGAATGTTACTGTCTGTTAGAGGATGTATAATGATCCTGGTGAACAATGACTCTATAATGCTACTTTAGTGGTAACACGTTCTCAATTTACATCCTTCTAGAAAAGGCTTCTTTCTGATGCGTATGCTGCTTTGACAACGTGTTACTTTAGGTGCCTGAAAGACTCCTATGACCTATGAATGAGTGATAGCTTTTTACTCCTAATCACCTATCCATTTTTTTCCCCCCAGAGACAGGGTTTCTCTGTGTAGCCCTGGATATCCTGGAACTCTATGTAGAACAGGCTGGCCTTGAACTTACACAGATCTGTCTGCCTCTGTCTCCTAAAGGTGTGTACCACCATGCCCAACTACACAGAGAAACCCTGTTTTGAAAAACAAATAAGTCGGGCTGTGGTGGCGCATGCCTTTAATCCCAGCACTTGGGAGGCAGAGGCAGGCGGATTTCTGAGTTCAAGTCCAGCCTGGTCTACAGAGTGAGTTCCAGGACAGCCCAGGCTATATAGAGAAACCCTGTTTCGAAAAACAAAAAAACCAACCAAACAAACAAAAAAAGTAAGGTTAGGTGTTATTGATTTGAACATTAACATCTTTCCCTATTAGGGACTGGTCTGGCTAAAAGACAAAGATGCAACCCACTGCAAGCTTTGTGAGAAGGAATTTTCACTCTCCAAAAGAAAGGTAAGAGGAATGAAAGTGATTCTAAACAGTTTGGCAACAAAAATGGCTTCTAATTCAGTTTTATTTTCCCCTGATTTTTCCATTTACTAGCACCACTGTAGAAACTGTGGGGAAATTTTCTGTAATGCCTGCTCTGACAACGAGCTGCCTTTGCCCTCTTCACCAAAGCCAGTTCGAGTGTGTGATTCCTGTCATGCAATGCTCATTCAGAGATGTTCCTCTAATGTGCCGTGACACGGGAACTCATGCTCCTGCACAGAAGCACCTGCAGTGAGGGAGGGCTGTGCACAGCAGTGCCAAGTCAGCGCTGTACCTCGCCTCCAGCTAACACACAGGTTTCTAAGTTCTATGGGTTAGTATTCCATTCCTGTACTTAATCAGATTTTAAGATAGCATGTTTGATCACTACTCAACATCAAGTAACCTTTAACAAAAGGTCAGATAGCAGAGCTAATGCACAGTTGCCTTACCTTATAGAGGCCTTCTTGAGAACAAGGCCACAGCTCATTTGCTTCTGAACTGTTGAGTTGGCACCTGATGGTGCCCGTATATCTCTTAATGCACTTTAAAATTGTCACAGTTCTCAGAGAAAAACTGGAAATGCATTCACTTTATGTTACATGCCAATTTAACATTGTTTTTTGAAATGGTGGCTCATGCCTTTAATCCCAGCACTTGGGAGGCAGAGGCAGGTGGATCTCTGAGTTTGAGGCCAGCCTGGTAGACAGAGCAAGTTCCAGGTCAGCCAGAGCTACACAGAGAAACCTTGTCTTAAAAAGAAAAAGGGGCTGGTGAGATGGCTCAGGGGTTAAGAGCATCAACTGCTCTTCTGGGGGTCATAAGTTCAAATCCCAGCAACCACATGGTGGCTCACAACCATCTGCAATGGGATCTGATGCCCTTATATGGGTGTCTAAAGACAGCTACAATGTACTTGGGGACGGAGCAAGAGAGAAAAGGGAAGGGGGGAAAAAAAGAAAAAAGAAAGGAAGAAAAGACAGATTGAATCAAAGTTGTTCATTTATTACCATGAACTTTGCCTCAGCACTGAAGTGCTGGGGATACAGGTGTGTGCTTCCATCCCAGGCCTGTCTATTCTTCATTGTCTGGTAAGATTCTAATTTAGTTGTATCTATTTGCTTGCTCTTCTCCCTTCTCTACAATGGAAAAGACCAACGATTTTATCCCATCCTTTTCTTTTTACTTGTCCATACCTTTCATATAGTGGACTACAGGATCAGTGATCTGGCCTCTAGCTTTTCCTTCACTTTTTAAGGGGAAGTTTTACTAATAACCATCATCCTTATCACAGATTCTGTAAAGGGTCAGATTCCAAAGGAGAAACCATTCCTTCCCAGGGAACAGAGGGAAAGAGTGAGACCACAGGACTTTAAAGACTGATTCTAAACATTAAAAATAAGAGAGTTTAAAACTTTGCCTTTGCTATGAAAGAATTAAGTTTCTCCACCCTCAGTTCTCTTAAGAACTTCTAGGAAGCATTACATTGGTGTGTTTACACTTACAATAGAATTTCACCCAATGTGTATCAAGTACCTTTATGCTATGGTCTTAGGTAGATAGTGGTTCCTTATTTTTTTTAAGCAGAGGGGGGAAAAAAGCATTAAGTTACTTATCATGACCATTTAGGATCTTAAATATATTAACTTCCAGTCTTGTTCTTTTAAATCTATAAACCTTTCAAACTCTAGCGATTTTACATTCCCAAGAACACTGTTCAGTGTTTGGGTACTTTTATGATCCCCTTTTCTGTAGGATCTTTTCATTTGCTGTGTTTAAGTTTTTATAAACTGCCAAAATTACAAAACTAGTATTTACCAGCTTCTGTGGTCTGACAGATTTCTAGATGTCTCTTCTTTTGGAGACAGGGAAACCAATCCCAAGTCGGCCTCCAACCTGGTGTGCAGCAGGGGAAGCCCTTCAACTGCCTCTCTGCCTTCCACACCTCCCAGCTGCTGAGATTATAGCTGTCTGGTGTTTGTATGTGGTGCCGGGGATGGAAGCCCTGACTTTGTGCACATTGGCCTGGTACTCTACCAACTGAGTCACTCCCTGACCCAGATGCCATTTGTTGAACATGGACAGAAATGGTCTTGAGACAGCATTAAGACATTAAGGCAGGAAAGGAGGACTACCACAAGTTTCAAGAACAGCTTGCCGGGTCCATCCCTATGCTATATATGCACAGTGAAAACCTGGCACAAAAATTAGAAAGGGGGGGGAGAATTCTTGAACCACTCTATACTGATGGGGATGACTAACATTTTTTTCTGACTGTTGAAAGTGAGCATAAATGAAAAAATTTCAAATGCTTTATTATGTGCTTTTTATTACGACTCAAAATTTGTATCATAAACACAGGCCTTTTCTGGAGCAGCATTAACTTGTTCCCCACTGTGTCTGAGATAAGAATATAGCTCAGTGGTAAAATGTTTGCTTATTGTGGCTATTAAGAGCCTGGGTTCTCAATTCACTTCACAGTACTATCACCAACACCAAAAAAACCTCCCAACTTTAAATTTAGGATATCCTACTCATTATAGAACATTCACAATCCTTGTTTTGCAGAAAACATCTGTCACTCCCTTACTTCCCTAGCCAGGACTACCACAAGGATGTAATCATGGTGCCAAGGAATTGCAATTGTAATTCTGATCTGTAATGTTTTTAAAATAAATGTGATTTTATAAAACGGAGATCTAGGAAATTAACAATTATTTTTATTGCCTTAAAAGATTTGTTCTTATCTGTTTATCTGTGTGTGTGTGTGTGTGTGTGTGTGTGTGTGTGTGTGTGTGTGTGTATGTGTGTGTATATGCCATGTGTGTGCAGGTGACCAAGGAGGCCAGAAAAAGGTACTGGATTCATTGTGATCCACCCGATGTGGGTGCTGGGAACCAAAAGGCCCCTCTGAATGAGCAGCAAGTACTTCTAACCACTCCACTTAAGTCCTCTCCAGCCACCTGCTTTGAGATTTTAAGAAGGTAACCTTTGAAGTGCTTTTGACTTCTGTGCCAGCATGCATACTAGCTCATCGGTGTATAGGCGCCAAGTTAAACCTCTAAGTCAGAGACTCACAGTTTCAGGCCAATAGGATCCAAGTGACTTGCTGGGGCAACTCTCTTGTCTTAGTATGGGGAAAAACCACTCCTTTGCAGTCACTTGATCAGAAACCTCAATTTGGCATCCAACAGTACTTGCCTTTGCCTCCCAAGTGCTGGGATTAAAGGCATGGTGATGCTCTATACCAATGCATTGTAGCCAATAACCAACACAAAGCACTCTAGGATAGACATCATTCCTTTATCTCCTAGGTTGACATTTATTACATTAATAACATGTCTAGCAAAAACAAGCAGCAAGTTCACTAATTGAGTTCACGCTGACAGGTTCATTTTGATCCATTAGCCAACTTGGGGAAAAGTCTTATTATCAAAGCGATAAAAGATTAGCAGAAAGCACCCTTTCCTAGCTGCACAGAGTGAGTACTTAACTACTCAAAGCCAGTTTGACAAAACCAGCTACAACGTTGTTTTACGTTTTCCTAACTAGTCATTTACACCACTAAAGACCCTGTTTTCTTGGGTGAGAAACTGAAAATACAAGTAAGCATATACCCACCATAGTAAATACCCACATATCTACATTGAGTTTTTCTGTCATTATTGAGAATTGAGAATTTCAAACTACTCCAACAAACTATCAAGTTTTGGGAACATTTTTGGTATCTTAGTCAAGTGCTATCAGGGTTTTAAAATCTCCGGCTATAATTTTAACTGATACTCCCACCTCCCCTCCCCTGTTAATGATACAATTGTGAATATTTAGAACCTAGATACCTCTTATAAATTACTCAGAGCTATGCCTGATAAATGAGACTGAAAAGAGAATAGAGAATTAGCTTAACTTACGTTCCTCAAACCACCTGAACATATCGTTAGGCTTTTTATTTACATTGGGTCTGAGAGTGAAAGTTAGTGCTATCCCAGATGACTACTTTATTAAGACTTGCAGTCTTACCCTCTAATACTGCACTATGCTAACAGTAAAATGCATCATCCCAAATCTTATGAAGGCAGCACATCCTTAGGAGTACTTATATATAAAAAGTAGCAACATCAATGACTTGAATATAAAAATTTATTTTAAGTCAAAGTATGCAACAAATAAAACCTACAGAAAACATTTTCCCATCACAGCTTTACCAAATAATATCTTGAAAACACATTCCTTCAGTCATTATAAAGTTCTTGAAATACAAAAGAAATGAAATCTGTAAGAAAGTCTAGTAAAGCAGGTGTGTTAGGATGTGCACGTTGGGGTGGTGCTGTCAGTACATCCCACGCCATCCACCTCCACTCATTCCACCTTGCCCATAGTAACCTCCACTGCCTCCACCACCACGACCTTAAGAAGACAGCAAGAACCGCCCATCAGGAGACATCCATGAGTTTAAATGAAGGACACTACCAGGATACAGAAACAACTCCTTACCGTAGCCTCCCAAGCCATCAGGGGCGCCATAGCCTCCGCTGTAGCTGTTCCCCATCCCCATTCTCCCAACAGACCCGTAGCCTCCTTGATTATCTGCGCATAGAAAAGAAGCAGCAGAGGATGATTGCCTTGCAGAGTAGCCAACACTTGCTTATTCTACAAAATGTATACACCTAGGTTTTGGAACGATATGCTGAAGCACCAAGGAAGGAGGACTGTTGAGTTTTGGGCCAGCCTGTGTTACAGAGTGAGATGCTACCCATCATAAATACAAAACTATACTTACCCATTCCATCTCTGCCGTAGCCTCCCATTCCAGAGCCTCCCATTCCAGAGCCACCTCCAGGGGTGGAATTCAAGAAGAGTTCAATGTATCGATGTTCTTAAGAAAGGAGAAAAAAAAAAAAAGGAGAAAAAGGTAAGAGTAGTAGAGAAAGGTATGCTGGATCAAAGGTATCAGAGGTCAGTTAGATAGTATTTAAATAGACTTATCCATAAATATAGAACTCAGACAGTCATTAAAGTTTAAGCATTATTAACAGGTCAAATGATTTTAAATCCTAGGGTCTACTACAGGCACTTTAATAAGTATTTTATTAACTGCACACACCTATAAAACAAGCATACCAAAGATACCACTTACGCATGTTGTTTTTATCTTTAGACATGGCAGCCACTGCATCTTCATGTGTCACAAACTCTACATCTGCCTCGCCTGTTGCTCTGCCATCGGCTCCAATATCAATATGAACGCGTATTGGATTGAGTGGTGAGAAGAACTAAATAGAAGTTATTCATTTTAAAGTTCCAGTTATTTAAAAGTTATCACATACCTTAATTTTTTTCCTAGTCCACTAAAATAAACTACTCAGTCTCTAAAGGCTGCAGCACTGTGGAGGTAGGCTAGTCGTCCTTTGCCACAGAAGTGGTCAACTTAGCTCCCACAGGGAAGGAGTACATATTTTTAAAGGCAAAAAGCACTTCTGTTTTAAAAGTTAGGTAATACTAAATTTTAAATGAAAATTGTGCAACTGTGGGATACAGCTCCATGATAAACATGCTTAGGAGTATCTGAGTTCGGGATTGCTTCAGACCCTACTACTGAAAGCAAGTTCCTCCCTGGCTGACTGACTATTCTTAAACAGAGTGGGGGGTTTGTTATTTTTAATGCATTTTTTTTTTTACCTGCTTAAAAATATCATTAGGTCAGCACCTAATGGGCACAGAACGACTGTGTGTGCATTAGGCAAATAATCAATCACTAAGTGACAACCCTAGCCTGAATCTCAACAAATAAAATAGATGAGTCAGCTGGGCATGGTAGCTGTAATTCTAACATGCTCAAAGCCAAGTTAGCATTTGCAAATTCTAGCCCAGTTTGGTAATTATTACTAAAAAACAAACAAAAACCCAAACACTATAAAACCACAGTTACTCACATTAGCAATATCATTTTCAGTCGCACGGAAAGGCAGCCCTCTCATGTGCACAAAATGACCACCATGGAAACCTGAACTTGCATCACCAGCTCCACCATAGCCATGTCCTCCCATAGGGCCTAGGTTATAAACCATTGTGGGGTCACATAAATATATCCATATAAATCTCCAAAGCAGTGCACTGACACAAGTTTCCATTAACCTATCAAAGTTGCCTTACTACTACTGGAAAGTTACCTAATTACTACTGAAACTTTACAAAGGAAACAGTAAAATCCATCCAGCATGACAATACTCTGTTTACCTCTTCCGTCTCTCATCCTGTCATCAAAGCCGTCATTTCCATAGCCATAATTATTATAGCCACCATAGTCATCGAAACCTCCATAGCCTGTGTAAAATGTAAGGAAAAAGACAGACAACTCTAAGCCACTGTTTTGTAAAATAGCTTACAAAATCATTTTGTAGTCAACTGTCTTAGCTTCTTCATTAATGTTTGCAGCTGACTGCATATGAGAAAAAGTTAACACTTGATGGAAATTTACAGAGGATAAATTCAAACACAATATGAAAACCAAGTATTATCTTTATGCCAGGAAGAGAACATGCCAATCATCTTTATTTTTATTTCTACACTAAGTTCTTTAGGTGTCGATCAGTATATGCATCAGTCAAGTTCTACCAGATGGTCACGAACATCCCACAACCTCATGACCAGGTTTTGAAACCTCAAAGGTACTGGAATTACTGCCATTTCTGTATTTCTTGACAAAGTGTCAGGAACACCAAGAAAATGACAACAGAGCCTTTGCTCATAGACACACATACCACCATCATAGCCATCACCTCCTCGTCGTATTCTGTCATACATACTTCCACGCCCAGCTCCATAATAACCCCCTCTTCCTCCTATTGGTCTATCATATGGTCCCGGTCGCTGTCCCAGCAATCTTCTTGGTGGATCATAAAATCCTTTGATTTCACTCCTGCTACTCCTGAAGATCTCAATATACCTATTTAAAAATGTTTTAAGGTACAGGTTTCAGCATAGATGCATTAGAGAGTAAATTAGATAGTGGACAAAATGCAGTAAGTTTCTTTATATCTAGGTACATATCCCAATTTAAATTGCCTAAATAAACCATACGATTAACATTTTTTACACCTACAAACTTAAATATTTAAGTTTTACATAGACAAATGAGTCATTTGAAACACTGAATTAGGAATATATTTTTAGTTTGTTTCCTTTAGTACAAGATAGGCATGTAAAAAACAAAAACAAAAAAAAAAAAAACCAGGTGATTATACAAAAATAAATTTAACAACATCCTACAAAGAAATGGAAACAATCTAATTTTAATTTAAACTATAAGCATTAATTCCCCACCCAAATCTGTAGTTACCATGTTAAATTTAGGTAATTATCAATTCTTTAAAACTACCCCCAAAAATGTTATGTTTACCCCCCCATTTAAGCAATAGCGACCCACAACCCCCAAAAATAAAAATTTAACACCATCCCAAACTCTCCATCCCCACCTGTGCCCTATTCTTTCCTTGTGTTTCCCCAGAGCATTTTCTGCTATCTCCTTTGAAGCAAACTGCACGAAGGCCTCCCCTGTGCTTCTCCCCTGGTAGTCCATCGTCAATGTTATCCCATTTGGCACGATTTCCAACCCTTTAACCCAAGGACAAATACCCCATCAAGGGGAACAGTGTTAAAGGCTGAAACATTCCCATCTGAATCAAATATTTAAAACAAATCTAAACAAAACAAAACAAAGGCTTAGTTTCCCATCACCCCATAATACAAATGGAATATTCTTCAAATATCATGGATTAAATACTTTCTGTGACCAGTGTCTTAAAATTATATTTCTAAAAGCCCACTACACGAAAAACTACCAATCATTTAAGTGTGCTCCCAATGGTAACTCACAGCCCATGTCGTCAGTTACTCTCAGTTAACTATACTGTACAGCATCAATGGTTACACAGCCTACACATGCTCTACTCAATAGTAACTGGAGCACATTGCCCATTTTACTGTATAACCCAGATTATCACAAAACTAAGTTCTAAAATCAAATGGGTTCTATAAATTAAAAAACAATAACAGCTAATAAAAAACACATACAATTAAAATACTACTAAACTTTGACTAGTACTAGAGGTACCTTGAAAGAACTGAACTATTTCCTCTTTGCTGCAACCAAATGGCAGTCCACGAAGTCGCACTGTGCCATCACTAGCGTCATTTGGACCATTATGTTTCATAACCCAATCCATTTCAATACCGCTTGATTTAAATGCTATGAAAATAAACAAGCACATAAAGCAGTCAATCACAACACACTCTTACCAAGACTCGAACAACTCTGACAAGAGTCACAGCTCAAAATGCATGCAAAAGTTAAAGGGACTCCCGGGACAATCAGAAACAGTAGTCTATTAACATGCTTCTTTGGGGTAGGGTAGGAAAAGGCAATGAAATTCACCCCCCTCCTACCAAACAACCCTGAAGATCTAATAAGACTTGTAGAATTTTACCACCAGAGTAAAATGTGCTGTAACACACTCTATCCTTTTCCTCACTCCACACTAACTGTTTTACTAATGTTGACCCAAAGCTCTGAAAACTTGGTTTTGCAGACAGGGTGTCACTATATATCTAATTTGTTTCTGTTTTTAAACAAGGATCTTCGCCTTTAATCCCAGCACTTGGGAGGCAGAGGCAAGCAGATCTCTGAGAGTTTGAGGCCAGCTTGTCTACAAAGTAAATTCCAAGATAGCCAGGGCTGTTCTCTGTCTCAAAAAACAAACATCAACAAAAAGAATACAAAACAAGAAACAAACCCAAAAGATCCAAGAGTCTCAGTAGTCCAGGTTAGCCTTGAACTTCAAGTAGTCCTGCCTTAGTTACAGAGTACTAAGATTTCCTGAGACAACTGCCCAACTGCAAAGGTGTATATATAGATACTAGCTGTCTATTCATATTTGAGGTTTTGAGTATAAAAACGACTACCGTAGCCAGGTGGAGCTCTATAACTTGGACAGGACTCACAGATGGGATTACAGGTGCTACCACACCAGCTTAGGATATAGTCCTTCCCTCCAACAAGAGGACTATACTTCATCACAAAAAGCACTGGCTTCTCTTGCAGAGGACCTAGCCTCTATTCCCAGCACCTGCATGGGAACCTTGTATAACCCTAGTTTCCCATGGATCCAACACTCTTTGGGTTTTCTATCCATGTGGTGTACATAACATACAAGCAAGCAAAACATTCGTAAAATTAAAATACGTGGGGGAAAAAGACTAGTATTTCAGTAGCAAACACAAGAGAGAAAGCTCTTTTGTGTGTCTAAAACGTAACACACCAGTTTTGCCAAATAAAGTTCTTATGAAAACAAGAACTCTGAAAAACAGTATACTGCTAATAACTTTTATTTAAGAATCGTTTATTTCAGTTAATTAATCTGGTGTATGTGCTCATAACTCAGTGCAGAGGAAAATTTTTGTTCAACAGTTCTGACTTCAATTAACAAAATTTTACTGGGCAAAAACCGATTTGGACAACAAATTATCTCACAGGGTGACTTTCCATTCCAAGTAAAGAAAGTAAGGAAGCAGCCTTGCTCTAATAGACCTTTTAGCTCAATTCTAGAATCCTACTAAAACCCCAAGGCCGGTTTGTTCTGATCCTCAGTATAGTTTTCAGAGGCTATGTAACACTTTACTATTTACAATACCCAATCTTTGTAACAGTGTCATAAACTAATCACTACTCTGCTTTGGGGATCCCAACTGTTCTCATGCCACTAATTTAAGAGCTTGAGTTAGGAGACCAACCCGAGTCACATTCTCCCCACCCCACCAGCTATGTAGGTGCAGTCCCTTGCTCGTAGCCCAGGGATGCTAAAAAGGAAGGATGGTTTGGGCCTAGGTAGCCAGGGTAAGCAGCAAAACACTAACCACAAAACCTCCAAGTGTTAGGACCAATTTAAAAATACCAGCAGTTAAAATGAAGCCAGCTTTAGTAACACTCAGACTTTAAATAGAAAACAAAAATTTCTCGAGGCCAGCCTGGTCTACAGAGTGAGTTCCAGGACAGCCCGGGCTACACAGAGAAACCCTGTCTCGAAAAACAAAAACAAAACAAAACAAAAAAACCAAAAAGTGTTTTTAAAACTGAATTGTAGCCGGGCGGTGGTGGCGCACGCCTTTAATCCCAGCACTTGGGAGGCAGAGGCAGGAGGATTTCTGAGTTCGAGGCCAGCCTGGTCTACAGAGTGAGTTCCAGGACAGCCCGGGCTACACAGAGAAACCCTGTCTCGAAAAACCAAAAAAAAAAAAAA